GAATGGGGAGCAGGTGTGTTAAATTTGGTGTTATCGCTCTCACTCTCTCATACTGGTCACTGGAAGTTCAACATGGCACCTCATGGCAAATAACTCTCTGAGGATCTGAAAAAAAGAATTGTTGCACTACATAAAGATGGCGTAGGCTATAAGAAGATTGCCAAGACCCTGAAACTGAGCTGCAGCACGGTGGCCAAGACCATACAGCGGTTTAACAGGACAGGTTCCACTCAGAACAGGCCTCGTCATGGTCGACCAAAGAAGTTGAGTGCACGTGCTCAGCGTCATATTCAGAGGTTGTGTTTGGGAAATAGACGTACGAGTGCTGCCATCATTGCTGCAGAGGTTGAAGGGATGGGGGGTCAGCCTGTCAGTGCTCAGACCATATGCCGCACACTGCATCAAATTGGTCTGCATGGCTGTAGTCCCAGAAGAAAGCCTCTTCTAAAGATGATGCACAAGAAATTCCGCAAACAGTTTGCTGAAGACAAGCAGACTAAGGACATGGATTACTGGAACCATGTCCTGTGGTCTGATGAGACCAAGATAAACTTATTTGGTTCAGATGGTGTCAAGCGTGTGTGGCGGCAACCAGGTGAGGAGTACAAAGACAAGTGTGTCTTGCCTACAGTCAAGCATGGTGGTGGGAGTGTCATGGTCTGGGGCTGCATGAGTGCTGCCGGCACTGGGGAGCTACAGTTCATTGAGGCCAACATGCCAACATGTACTGTGACATACTGAAGCAGAGCATGATCCCCTCCCTTCGGAGACTGGGCCGCAGGGCAGTATTCCAACATGATAACGACCCCAAACACACCTCCAAGACGACCACATGGGGCATCCTCAAACGGAAGGTGAAGGAGCCCAAGGTCTCTAACATCCACCAGCTCCGTGATGTCGTCACACCATAATTTGCAAATAAATTCTTTAAAAATCCTACAATGTGATTTTCTGGATTTTTTTTTCTCATTTTGTCTCTCATAGTTGAGGTATACCTATGATGAAAATTACAGGCCTCTCTCATCTTTTTAAGTGGGAGAACTTGCACAATTGGTGGCTGACTAAATACTTTTTTGCCCCACTGTATGTATGTGTGTGTGTGTGTGTGTGTGTATGTATTATCCAATTATTTATTCAGATTTGTATATTTGGAAACTTTCTCTTCCTGAACAGAATGAAAAAGAGGAGACTTTAACTACAAATGTTTGGATTGAGATTGTGAGTATCTTACACGACCTCCCAAGGGCCATTGGTGTTGCAGTGTAACAGATCTTTTTTTCATATTTTGATCTACAACTGAGTAAAACAAATAATAGACTATGGAAAAATGTAGGGCTGGTACCTTTTCTTTCTGTCCATCATTTGTTGATTGGATGGAGGCCGATCTGAATGTAATATTGCAGTCAGTTGTTAGAAAGGGGCAGAGTTCAAAGGGATAGTTCACCCAAAAATGAAAATTTCATTACTCACCCTCATGTCGTTCCAAACCTGTTAGACCTTCATTCATCTTCGGAACACAAATTAAGATATTTTTGATGAAATCTGTGTGGTTTAACTGTAATTTTATGAAACTACAAGTATACTTTTTGTGCGCAAAAACAAAAATAACTTTTTCTTCTATTATTGTAATATTCAACAATTTATTCTCTCCCGGGACAGTCCTCCACCATTATGGAGAATACCACAATGCATGCGGACGCTGCTGTTGACGTAGAACACACTGTGCCTTGTTTACGAGCAGAAGAATGCATGGGCAAGCGTCGTGGTACTCTCTAGATAATGGCGGAGGACTGTCCTAGGAGAGAAGAAATCATTGAATAAAGTCATTATTTTAGTTTTCTTTGTGCACAAAAAGTATTCTCGTAGTTTAATAAAATCACAGTTAAACCACTGTTGTCACATGGATTATTTTAACAATGTCCTTACTACGTTTCTGTGCCTTGACTGTGGTAGTACCCTTGCTGTCTATGAAGGGTCAGAGAGCTTTTATCAAAAATATAAAATATCCTTAATTTGTGTTCCGAAGATGAAGAGTAATTAATGACAGAATTTTCATTTTTGGGTGAACTATCCATTTAAGTGGACATCAGCAGAGAGAAGTCTAATGTTCCACTTGAACATCAAGTTAAGATATTTTGAAGAATCATTCACAGTAAACTCAATCCATCGTGCATTTAGAGAACATTTCATGATGACTTAAAATTTGTCAAAAGTTGAGCTTTTTTACAGTTGAACTAGGTATGGCACTCTAGACATGTGCTGCTCAAGCATAAGACATGAACACACCGCCACCAGTCAGACGTCTATCTCACAAGTGTTTACATAGAAAAACAATAGAAAAGTAGCATAGCAGGATGCAAAAACTCATCTTGCATGACAGCCCCTAAGATGCTTCAAAGAAATAATGAACTTAAGTTCTCTGATTGCTTACACATTTAACTAAATCTTTTATTTCAATGTCAAATATTTAAAAAAGGGTTAATACAAGAGGTTAAAGAATAGATATGTCTATTCGTTGCTATGCTTTCTTATTCATCTGCATCATCTCTCCATATGTTCTTTTTTTTTTTTTACAATTTTCTCTCTTCAATTTTTGTTCACACAAATGTCTTCGCTAATGCGGTATTTTTTCTGCACTTCACATAGTTTCCATTTTCTGTTCTATGTCCTGCTAATTCCTGCTTTCCTTCTTTCACATTTCTGCTCTTCAGCAATGGCATGATTACCGTCTTGCGTGGAATACATCTGAGTATCACGGCATTGATCTGATCCGTGTGCCATACAACACTGTGTGGCTACCAGATATAGTTTTGGAAAACAAGTGAGTTAGCAGTACAACAGTAAATTTTCCATTTTAATCTCTCTGTTACTACAATAATGGCATAATCACCTCTTTTCCACTCTCTTTACAGCATTGATGGCAAGTTTGATGTGGCATATTACGCTAATGTGCTGATTTCGAGTGATGGCTCCATGTACTGGCTTCCCCCTGCCATCTACCGCAGTACCTGTGCTATTGAGATCACCTACTTCCCTTTCGACTGGCAAAACTGCACACTAGTCTTTAGGTTGGCACAGAGTGAGATTTGTTTAAATGCAAGTTTCATGGATTCATGGAGATTAATGACGAGGTTACACTTTACTTGAAGGGGTGTGCATAAGACTGACATGACACCTACATAATCATGACATGACACATGTCATGAATATGAAGGTTTTTTATGCATGTTTATGACAACTGTCATTAAGTGTCATTCACTCAGTTATGTAATTTTTAATGCAAAGATGACATTGTTTGAGATGTCTTTGTTATGGGCTATGGGTAGGGGTAAGGGTAGGGGTAGGGTTAGGTTAAATAATGTCATATTTGCATTAAAAATGACATAACTGAGGGAATGACACTTAATGACAGTTGTCATAAACATGCATAAAACCTCCTTCATATTCATGACATGTGGCATGTCATGATTATGAAGGTGTCATGTCAGTCTTATGCACACCCCTTCAAGTAAAGTGTTACCCAAGATTATAGATAAAAATTATATTTATTTTTATTACATTATAATATTATTATATTATAATATTTCATTAATTTTCTTTTTTAAATTTGATTGAAACTATCTTGTGTGTGTATATATATACAGTGGGTACGGAAAGTATTCAGACCCCCTTATAGCAAATGGCTGCAATATAACAATGAGTGAAAAATTTAAGGGGGTCTGAATACTTTCCGTACCCACTGTATATATATATATATATATATATATATATGTATAATTTTACATTCGCAGGTCTCAGACATACAGTGCAAAAGAAATTGATATGGTATTGGCAGAAGATGCAGATACAGGAAAGCCTATTGAGTGGGTGGACATTGACCCTGAGGCCTTCACAGGTGCCATGTTCACACACTTTACTATTTATTTTTCCACACTCGCACACGCACACACACACTTTGGGGGAATGTTTTCAGCATGGACAGATTAATTGGATTAAAAGTGCCTGTGAAGACATTTATAATATTGTAATATATTTATGCTGTTCTTTTGAACTTTCTATTTGTCAAAAAAAAAACATCTCACGGTTTCCACATAAATATTAAGCAGCACAACTGTTTTCAAAACTGATAATAATCAGAAATGTTTCTTCAGCAGCAAATCGGCATATTAAAATGATTTCTGAAGAATCATGTGACACTGAAGACTGGAGTGATGGCTGCTGAAAATTCTGCTTTATCACAGAGATAAATGACATTTCAAAATATATTAAAAAAGAAAACAGTTACCCTAAATTTTGATAATATCTCATGATATTTATGTTTTTACTGTATGTTTTATCAAATAAGTGCAGCCTTGGTTAGCACAACGGACTATCACCAACATAAACTTAAATTCTAAACAACCATAAAATTAATCAAAAACAGATACGATAGAGAGTAATGTAGTAAAATACATATAAAACTTGATGATGAAAAATTGTCTTGAATATAAAACATAACTAATCAGCACATCACATTTAATACTAGGAGGAAATTTCACATGTCTCTTTCTTCTAATGCTCGCATGGCCTCACAGAGAATGGGGAGTGGGCAATCAAGCATCGGCCTGCTCGTAAGCTGACAAACTCACGCTACTCTCCTGATGATCTGGAGTTCCAAGAGGTGTATTTCAACCTCATCATCCAGAGGAAACCACTCTTCTACATAATCAACATCATCCTTCCCTGCTCTCTCATCTCCTCTCTGGTCGTTCTGGCCTTTTTTCTACCTGCAAAAGGTGTTTGCGTGTGCATGTGCAGACATTCTGAGGTTAATGTTCAGTATGCCTTAAAATATTAAGATGCCATTCTCTTTGTCTTACAGTGTTAATACTCCCTCTGGCTGTCATTTCTCTTCTTGCACTCTGTCTTACTCTGCACACTACGTCTTTGTCTCACTCTTTCTTTCTGTTTCTTAGCTGGAGGGCAGAAGTTGACTGTGTCCATTTCGGTACTGTTGGCTCAGACTGTGTTTCTTTTCCTGATCGCTCAGAAGATCCCAGAAACCTCACTTTCTGTGCCTCTTATTGGCAAGTGAGTGTCGTCGTGTGTTAATTTTTTAACCGTCTCGCTGGTTTTAATCGAATTTCTCTTTTTCTTGGTTTTATTTTAGGTATTTAATCTTCGTCATGTGTATGACCACACTGATCGTGACCAACTGCATCATTGTCCTCAACTTCTCCCTTCGTAGTCCTAGTACACACAACATGTCACACACCATCAGACATGTGCGTTTGTGTTTTTGTCCTTTATGTATTTCCTAATTTGAAATATCATTGCATAGCTTCTGATTCTGTAGTCCTTCTTTTACTGTACTCTTATACCCATTAGATTTTCCTCGAGGTGGTCCCTCGTTTCCTTGGCATGACCTCATTTCTGGACGAGGAGGAGCCGGGAAGTGGGCCGTATGAAATGAGGGAGAGGCGGCGCAGTTCGTTTGGGCTGATGCAAAGGGCTGAAGAATATGTTTTGAAACAGCCACGCAGTGAGATGATGTTTGATAAACAGAGAGAGAGACATGGACTCATGCGCTCAATTGGTAACACAAATTCAAACATTCACTTACTGTATCTAAAGCATTCATAACATATAAGAGTATTGTGAACTACAGTGGTTGGATCAGGAGAGGTGCACAATTAAAATAATAGTTCAGTCAAAACATTTCTCACCTTCAGGCCATTTATGATGTAGATGAGTTTATTTCTTCAAATTTAGCATTATATCACTTGCTTACTAATGGATCTTCTGCAGTGAATGGGTGCCATCAGAAAGATGTTAAAATAGCTGATAAAAACATCTCAGTGATCCGCAATTAATCCACATGACTCTTGTGAAGTGAAAATGTTCACTGCGTTTTTAATAAATTCAACATTAAGATGTTTTTCATCAACTTCAACCTGTTGAATCATTTGAATCAGGAGAGAAATATGCACAGATCAAGCACCGTTTACAAGTCAAAACAGTCTAAAGCAGTTCTAAACCAATATGTTGGTGGATTTTGATGCGAAAGTCAACAGGGGATGAACTTTTCATTGCTGAAGCATTATTATGGATTATGGCCAGAAGTGGTTTATAGTTCAAATGCCTTGATGGATGCCTTAATGACAACTTTTCACTTCACAAGATGTTAACTGTTGTACTGGAGTTGTGTGGATTACTTGTGCATTATTGTGATGTTTTTATCTGCTGCTTGAACTCCCATTCTGACGGCACCCATTCACTGCAGAGGATCCATTGGTGAGCAAGTGATGTAATGCAAAATTTCTCCAAATCTGTTTGGATGAACAAACAAACTTATCTACATCTTGGATGGCCATTTTTAGCATATTTTCATTTTGGGGTGAACTATTACCTTAATAATTTTACATGCAAAATGCAAACATTCCAAAACACCTAATCTCATAATTTTTAGCATTATTTAGGCATTTAAAGTACTATTTGTTTTTTATGTTTACATTTATAATACCTGAATTTATTGTATTTTCTTAAGTGTTTGTGTATGTCTCCCTCTAGTGGATGAAATTGATGTGAGCAGTACGGCAAACCTCTACAAGAGTTTGGCAAAGACAGCACCAGAAATAAAAGAGTGTGTGGATGCCTGTAACTTCATTGCTGAATCCACTAAACAGCAAAATGACATTGGATCTGTAAGTGCAGGAGTGTCATAGCAAGATAATAACACTTTTTTTAAACATCCTCAGTGCAGTCATCTCCACCCACACACTGTTTTCCCACCTTCATCTTGTTTTTCTCATGTTATTCCTCTTTTTTTCTCAGGAGATGGAGAGTTGGGTGCTGATTGGTAAGATGATTGACAAGGTTTGTTTCTGGGCAGCCATCTTGCTATTCTCTGTTGGCACAGTGGCCATCTTCCTTATGGGTCACTACAACCAGGCACCTGATTACCCATTTCCTTGGGAGAACAAAAAGTACTTACCTGAGTAGAGAATAAGACTCTGTCCAAAAGAAAGAAGGAACTAGCAAAGAGCATGCTCTTGTCTGCTTATGTGATATAAAATAAATACAAAGACAGGTTTTATAGCTGGAGTTAGAGTACAACAAGCTGCACATGATTTGATCAGGATTGTATGACTTGTTACATGATCTTGTCTTATATTTGATATTAGGGACTATGGGTGTCCATGCATGTGTTAACAGCTTTACACACTAGTTACACTAGGGGGATTTGTGTAAACAATATTAATTAGTGAAATAATAAGGAATAAATAAACTAATGGTTTCAGCTTATTTCAGACCATGTAGTGGTTTTCTAGTTCATTGTGGCTGCATTTTGTAACACCCCAAACCAGTTTATCATCTGTTATCAAACTGTAATGTAACAGTATGCATTACAGTTGTGTGTTACATCAGCCACTTTTTATACAGTGATTGCACTGTAATATTTAATATTAGTATTATAGAGATGCATGTTCATTTTTGTTTGTTCCATGTTATCTTATGTATCTCTTTGTCGTAAAATGTTATTTTGATTTTACTTGTGCAATTTTGCATTAAATTTATTATTTACTATAAACTCTTTATATATACAAAAAATATTGTTGCCTCTTTGTAGTGAATAAATGGACTCTTAATTCACACACTGTCTTAAAATATCCTGTGCAAACGCACAAGAAACAAGTTTGATGTCTGCTTTTACGAACATTTTTAAATCCTTATTAAGCATTGTGCTTTTGTGATTTTTCTATATGCACCAAAGAAGGAAAATAAAATAACTGGCATAATCAAGGTGAAAATCTGATTCTTTTTTTTTTAGCTTGGCTACCACACTTGGTAAAGTGGTACAAAAGTTGTCACTGTCGTGGTAACTTTTCAAAGGCTCTACAGGTCCTTACAGCTACTAATGGCTTATGCACTATTTAGGGAATAATGATGGAGCTTCAGTAGCACTGATTTTACTTAACGAGCTTTCATCTAGATTTTCTTCATCGCTTTTAAAGTGGAATTATAAATTACAATGAATTTTGTAACCACTCTGACTTTTTAGTTTTGATATTAAAATATTTTACAGTGTATATTGTTCAAGCAAAAAGTGATATTTTCAATTGTACAGTGACCTACATTTCCTGTACTGTTGCGCTGCCATACCCAGAGGTTTCTGTCGGGTGTTTGCTTCCTGTGGTCCACGCTCTCTGAGTGTATCCTCTGATGTGGGTTTTATCAGTGTGTTGTTTGAGTTTTCATAAACTGTTTCAACAGTACATATCTGAGATTATCGCCTCTGAGGATTTAGTGATAAGACGCTGCTTATCAGTGCTGCAGCTTCCCGCGTCGCATCTACGCAAATTACGGTGGAGATATGGAACGTTTGCGCTAGAGACGAATGCAGGTATATTTGCGTCAATAAATCGCCCAAGAATTATAGAGCGTGTCTGTGTATGATAGTTTTGATATTAAAATATTTTACAGTGTATATTGTTCAAGCAAAAAGTGATATTTTCAATTGTACAGTGACCTACATTTCCTGTACTGTTGCGCTGAAAGTGTTAATTTCCTGCCATACCCAGAGGTTTCTGTCGGGTGTTTGCTTCCTGTGGTCCACGCTCTCTGAGTGTATCCTCTGATGTGGGTTTTATCAGTGTGTTGTTTGAGTTTTCATAAACTGTTTCAACAGTACATATCTGAGATTATCGCCTCTGAGGATTTAGTGATAAGACGCTGCTTATCAGTGCTGCAGCTTCCCGCGTCGCATCTACGCAAATTACGGTGGAGATATGGAACGTTTGCGCTAGAGACGAATGCAGGTATATTTGCGTCAATAAATCGCCCAAGAATTATAGAGCGTGTCTGTGTATGAAATATTTCCCTAGGCGGACCACTTTTTTATTTTATTTTTTACAAGCGCCAGAAATGCCAAGTAAAATTTTAATGCATATACACTTACGTATTCATTTTTCCTGCGGACCATTCTCGGGGCTTTACGGTAAATGCGGCCTCAGAAGTTTGTCTACGTTGAATGTAACCGCAAACCTACGCCTTGGGAGTTGTGATGGGGGATAAGTTATCCAGAAGTTTGAGTCTAATTGGGAAATAACAATCTAGGAAACTACAAGGTGCCAGACGAGCGCTTAATCGCGACAGTTTCCTTGGTGGTGAGTAATATATAATAAAATCTTGATTAGAAAGAGGTATTATCATGGCGCATCGGAAAATGAAACTTCACGTACATTTTTAACAGTGAAATGTAAAATGTCTTTCTCACGCTTGTCTTTACACACTGGTTGGCGCTTATTGCTATAAACATCTGTGCTGTTTTAAAGCACCTAGATTTTCCATCCGAGTCTCGTGTTAAATCGCGAGTGAAAATGTGTCCCGTAAAAACACGAGACTGGAATGTTAATGGTCTTGATGAAGACCACTGATGCATAAACACCGACTCTGTCTCAAAAACGAATGGGTTATCTATCTAGATAGCATTTGGTGCACTATAAAGTGTGTAAACGCGTGATGCGCACTAGTATTGAGACACGGCCACCCTGTTCATTCCCACGTCCTCTTGACTGTTGATGGATTATCAAGCGGACAGCCTCATCCGGGTTACCAGATAGAAGCCGGTTGGGAGAGATTTCTGAAGACGGAAAGTTTCAACAATGTGTGAACCAGGACAAGCATTTGAGTTTGATTTTTACTAGTAATACCAAAGACTATAGAATACCTTAAAGGGATTTTGGTAATACCTAATAATGAAACATAATGTAATACATACCTTTTAAAAATACACAATTCTGTAATAAACATTTCCATTCCAAGTATCACTTATTTGACATATCAGCCATGTACAAATGTAATTGTGGTTGCAGCTGTTGTTATCAGGCTAATATTGAGTTTCAGGAAATCAAAGATTATTGAGTCCTGGGTGCAGTTTCTTCTAAGTAAGTGATTTTAGCTGTGGTTTTCATATCTAGGCAATACAGTTGCTAATGTTGAAATCATCAAATGCAAACAGCTGCATTATCTCAAGAGTGAAATGCTCTGTCAAATCATTTTACTCATACAAGGTTTTATGATTTGTTTGATCTGCTATCTTGTTATAAGTTTATGATGTGTTGAATATCTCCCTCTCTTTCTTCCAGCTGTGTCTAGTGTTTCACCTGCAGCCTGGTTGCCTGGCAACAGTGGGCACAGTCAGCCAGTGCAACGCCCTCTAATACCCTCTCTCTACCCTACTGTTCGCTTCCTTAAAGGGGTCATATGATGCTTTTTTAAAGATCATTATTTTGTGTATTTGGTGTAACAGAATATGTTGACATGCTGTAATGTTCAAAAAACACATTATTTTTCAAATACTGTACATTATTGTAGGTCCTCTATGCCCCGCCTCTCTCAAACACTTCGTTTTCTACAAAGTCCCTCCTTCCGACAAGCGCAGTCTGCTCTGATTGGCCAGCTGACCCAGTGCATGTTTAATATTTGAATTTATAACACAGTCCCATTCAAAGGTTTGGGGTCAGGAATTTTTTTTTTGAAGGAAGTCTCTTATGCTCAGCACAGCTTTGTTTAACAGTATATTGAATATCGAAAATACAGTAAAAACAGTAATATTGTGAAATATTATAATTTAAAGTAGCTGTTTTCTATTTAAATATGTTTTAAAATGTAATTTATTCATCTGATGGCATAGCTGAATTTTCATCTTCAGTGTCACATGTTTCGTCAGAAATCATTCTGATTTAGTGCTCAAGAAACATTTCTTATTATTATCAATGCTGACAGTTGTGCTGCTTAATATTTTAGTGGAAACTGTGATAATTTTTTTCAGGATACTTTGATGAATAAAGTTCAATGAACAAATTTTTTTTTAAGATAAATCTTTTGTAACAATGTAAACGTCCTTACCATCACTTTTGATCAATGTAATGCATCCTAGCTTAATATAAGTATTCACATTTACATGTCTTAATTCTTTTGAAAAGTAGTGTATTTCTACATTTATATCTGAAAAATCCTAAGAAAAATATAATGACTTTAATACTTTACTTTAAACAAAACGTATTAATAGTTGAAAAGTAGGCCTGTCGCAATAATCAAAATATCGACTTATCACGCAATATATGTACATGACCTCAATCATTTTTGGTGATGCAATATATCGCCCATTATATTTACTTACAAATGAATGCCACCACGTTTTGTACATTCCACTTGTGCCTGTGTCTTTTGGAGCTTCTCGTACATAACGTGGTGTAGTCATGAGGTGCTAGTTAAAATTTTAAAAATGCTTCTACAAACAAAGTTTAATCTGCAGATATGGTCTTGTTTAGGGATCTGTGCCTTTGTGCATACAGACATCTGACTGCTAAGAAGTGATTGTGTTTTTCAGCAATAATAAAGAAGGTCAGGAAAAAAATTTGTAGATGGAAAAATCTCCATACAAGTTCTTTGTGCATTTTTCTTTTTTCTACTTGTTACTTTGCACTTTTTGTTAGAAAATGTTTATTTACTATTTATTCATGTTTTTTAAGGTTTCTAATATTTTGATACCTAATTTCCATAATCTAAATAGTCTTAAAAATTAAAAGTTTGTTGTCTTTTGGAAGTGTGAATTCCTTCTTGCATTATTATACTGTTACATTATGATTATACAGTATATTCAGTGGCATAAAATGGTCCTTAAAATGACTATATTATCGCTTATCGCAATTATTTCTGGGGCAATATACGCACAACAAAAAGTTGTTATCGTGACAGGCTTATTGAAAAGTAATACTATTGTAAATTCTGCAGTATTCTAAGGTATCTTTCTCTGCATTGGTAATTACTTACTACAGCACCATTTCACAGCCCTGTACCTGGAGGTTCCCCAACATGTTTCTCACTTATTAGGCACACCTATTTCAGGTGTTGGAGTATCTACTAATGCACTGATGAGTTGAATCAAGCCTGTTTAATTAGGGAGACATCCAAAATGTGTGGTTTTGAGGGGCCTGCAGGAACATGGTTGGAAACTATTGTACTACATGAATTAAAAAAGTTAGAACATGACTTTTACTATACACATGTATGTCAAATCTGTTGAAAGCAATCAGTTATCTATTTTATTTCTCTTTCCACTTTTTATTTGTTTTCTCTCAACTCAAGAATCATTTCCATATTTTGAACAAAAGAATGAAGAGGTAACTTGATAACAAATCATCTGTACCACAGCTGGAGTGCAGTCTTTTATTGCTAGAATGATGGACTCCTTTGTTTTGTTGTGAAAGTTGCTTTAGAAAGACAATTCAGCCCAAACACAATCTGTAATGACTCCAACAGCAACATGCGATTTAGCTTTATTGTCCTAGCTATTTTTACTTGTGCTTAAATAAATACAGATTATGTGATAATAACAACAGTGCAGACAAATCCTGCACCTGTGAAAGTAAAATACACTTACAGTAATAACAATAATCAATGGTGTTTTTTAATTATGCGTCTTTCCATACATATTATGCTATGCGGCTTAAGTTTAAAGGAACAAACAAACAGAACCAAATTAAATGAGAATAATAAACAGAAATACACAAAAGAAATACAAAAAAGTATATGAATGCAAAGAATGATGGATCTACTGTCTTCCAGTTGGAAGAAAACGTTAAGCAGATAAAATATGGTTAGATTTATCTTGCCGATACAGCTGGTATGAATGGTTTCATGAAATGTGTGCACTTTGTGTTAGAAGCCCAAATCTCTATAGCCATCTTTCTGCTACCTGTAGAATTTTTGCAATTGGCTTTACATCTGTTCTTATCAAGTGTTTTCAAACCAGTGTTGTTTATAGTTAGGTATACAAATCAAAACTTAAACTGCGTGTATCAGGACAGGTAGCTGAAAACATAACACATTCTCACCATTGATAAGGGAAGCTGTGTTAAGATTTGGTGTAAATGGAAAAGAACAAAGGTCTCAGCACAGATCCTTGCTGTACCCAGTTGTGAACAGCCTTCGCTGTTTCCACATTTAGAGAATAGTTTGTTTGCCTCTAGTTTTATCTAATATCATGCATTTCACATTTTGTAAACTATGTCAAAAAGCATAGCTAATGTTTTCCCTCTTTGTGTGCCTGGGTGTTTTTGTTTGTTGGTGTGTTTGCACAGGTGTGTCGTGGTCCAGTAGCCTTATGGCTAGTTCTGAGACAGATGCAGCAAAAAGGTGGCAAAAATGTGTGGACACTGTGCTGTGCAACCTTACTAAGGATCAACTGAAATCTATTGAAAACAACAGTGGTGAGACAAATCACCTACTCAGTATTTATTATCACAAATTTTAAACCCTCCCTATAACTTTCATGTGAGCTTGAAGACCTTGATCAGTGGGTTCATGTGTGTTTGATTTGAGCTGAAATTAGATAGGGCTTACATTTTCTTTCTTTTTTAAGTTGTTGTTCAGTGCTTGCCCCATAGCTAGGATTACCATGTAGATTATTTGCATACCTTGCTGCTGCCTGTCCCCACCTTGATGCCCACATTTATTGGAGTTGTACATTTGTTTTTAATAGTTTAGACTTTTAATATTGGCCATTTGTCAGTTGTCATGGAACAACATTAAATATAATAAAATGTTATTTATTGGTGTGAGCTAAAATTGTGATATCAGAACATGTTTTCTGATATACACAATCAACAACCCTGACAATGGTAATATGAGCAGTAAGGCAAGGTCTTAAATAGCAAAGGACAGGCATAATGAACAAAAACATTAGTTATTAGTTATTTGCTTCACAATTCACTGTTAACCTCCGGACTTCTTTTCAATCATTTATTTGTCTCTTAAGGACAAAGGATTATTTATGCCACATCCATATGTCAGTCATGCTTGTAAGAACAGGTATTCTAAGTGTGACAGTGGGTCCTTATACTTCCTTGTGAAAAGATTGCAAAAACTGTAGAATGCAGAGAGAGCAGTGACTGGTTTCACAGCTGTTTTGTCTCATTCACATGCTTCTAGAAGAATTATTTTCTTAAGCATAACGCTGTAACTGAGTGACTTTTGTGATCTTTGACCCCTGGTGATATAACATTGTTGACACTGAGGCCTGTCACAATGGCTGTTTTTCAAAACTGGGGCCAAATATAGAAACATCTATTATTCAAAATATAATTTAAACCTGAAAATAAGAGTCATTATTGTGTAAAATAAATAAGAAATAATTTAGATTCTGTAAGCTTCTAGTTCACTAATCACAGAAGCAAGTCTAAAACATCAGATGGCCAGATGTTCCTCCACTGAAGCACAAAATGCTCTTGGATCAAGACCAGCTCATTCGAGTCTAAGTCAAGACTGAGTCCACATACTCCTAAGTACATGACAAAACCAAGACCATGAAATATGGTCTTCAAGTCTGAGTCCAAGACCATATTTGCATGGTCTTGGTCTTGTTATGGACTGAGGAGCAAGTGGACTCAGCCTTGACCCGCTTCTGGTCTCTGTCTCGACTCTTAGTCATAGTCTTGACTACAGCATCGCGTTTTACCAGCACCTGTGGAGTTCATCCAGCTTGAATGCTGCTCTTATTAAATCAGAAATTCCTAATGATTTTTCAATTCAAATTTTCACTTAAACTGCTTTGCTGCAATATTTTGTATTAAATTAGACAAAAAAGTGCATAAAATCATTATGCCTTATGCTTATCTTTCATTATATCTCTCAGAGGAACGGGACTTTTTTGTGGTACATCACCTGGCAGACCTGAAAGAAGGTTGCATCTCTCCTCTCATTCATGGCACACCTATCACCTGTAAAGTGGAAAACACAGAGCGATACACCACCCGCTCTAAGGTGCGTTTGTGGGTGTGTACTTAATAATGTGTTGCGGTGCTATACCTAACAGTGTAAAAATCCTGTTTGTAGGTACATGTGTGCACTCTCTACACGATCTGTCTGACACATGGAGAGTTCACATGGATGGTAAAAAGAAAGTACAAGCACTTCCAGGAGCTCCACAGAGACCTGTACAAACACAAAATGATATTGCAGTTCTTGCCTCTGGGGAAGTGAGCGCGCACACACAGGCCCATGCAAATTCACAATGCTTCATTTGTTTGGGAGGGAGTTTTGACCTGGTGTTTTCCTTCCATTGTTCTTGTGATTTGAATTAGATTTGCCATTCAGAGACAACAGCTGGCAAGTTTGACAGAGGAAATGCCAACTTTACATGGAAGTGATAGAATCAGGAGAACGTCTAGCAAACCGGTACATACGTAATAACGCAAAGCCCACCTCCCTCTAAAAGTTGTACACCCACTGTATTGTATGTATTGTGTTATGTGTGTTTTTCAGAAATATCTGGAGGAATATTTAAACAACTTGCTAGAAAACGCTTTCTACAAGAATTATCATGGGATGGTGAGAAGCTTACATACGTATATACATATAATTACTATGCACATAATTTATAAGTATATACATCTAATTACTATGTTTTTAGCTGACATTAATATACTTTTTGTATACTTTTCTACTTATACTCTATATTGGTGGTTATCCGTCCTTCTGTATTGGTTCTACTGAATAATAATAAAAATATGTTTTATATATTATACTTTAATGACTATCAGTCCTTCAATGTTGATAATAATGATATTAATGATAATGCATATTTTTATTGTTAAAATCAATTTTTTTAGTTGTTGTGTTAAAAAGCTGTATTAAATATGTTTGGCTATTGGACAACATAAAAATAATTGTTACTGTATCACATATTATATTAGTCAGTCTGTAATGTTTGTTATGGATGTGCCTGGATGTCTCCAAAAATATTTTTTGTCAGATTTAGCTCAATTCTGGAGGCAGTTTTCTCCTCAAAGTGTATGCAATTTGGACAAACGGACAAATACTGTACAAAAATTGCAGAGGAATGTGGTTTTATGCCTGCTTATTAAAGTGTGTATTGTGCTCTCAGTTGGACTTCCTGGCAATCAGTCCACTGTCCTTCATCAAAGACCTTGGACCCAAAGGCCTGTGAGTACAGGCCTCAAGCTTTTATTATTTACTACCATACTCATATTTAATGTTGATTCATATTTAATGTAACATTCTAGTGACTCATTTTTATAATTGATTTTCTGTTGTTATTTTCTGCTGTGTATGAGCAGAGATCCTGGCGTTGTGTCGTTTGTGCTGCTGTTTGACCCTGAGCTGAAGGTGTTGGTTGGAAGTGTTTACACTGATACCAAGCATGGCGTCTGCATCGAGAACTTCAGCAGGTAAAAAATGTCTGAGTCTGAGGACCAGTATAAGGAAGTCTTCCTACTACTTGCACCAATCTGACAGACCGTTTTACAGAGACGTGTGCAGCCACAGCTGGTATGTGTGTGTTTTGTAGGAAGCTGGTGATAAAGTGCAGTAGCTACAGGCAGGCCCAGTGGTGGAGTCATGAGATTCGGAGTCTCTCTGAGCGCTGCGATTTCCTCCAGACGCATCGCTTTGAAGGCTTCGCCCCACCCAGACCGGACACTCTCACAAAGTGGTGTGTGCATTTATGTAATATGTCCTTGGATGAACTTTCGATCAATGAAAATTGATTGATTGAGTACTTTGTGTAATGGAGTGGGTGCTGAGTAAATGACTCATTGGTTGATTGACAGGTATGTTAATGGGAATGGCTATTTCTCAGACGTGGCTGATGCCCTGGAACAGGCCAAGGAGGAGATCTTCATCACTGATTGGTGGTAAGTGTACTGTCTTCCACACACACATGTACAGTACATGGCCTGAATGGGTCAGCAGCTCCATTTGTGATCATAACTGCTTCCACCATGTTCCCACAGTATTAGTTGCATCTGTTTTCCCCTCCTGTGGTCTCATGGGATAGTAACATGTCCTTTGAAACAAAGGTCATCTGGGTATTTTTGTCTACTTCCTTATTGTATCCTAATCATGTGGCATACTGCTTTTTGGATGCTCTGGCAAGTAAGTTTGTCATCGGGCCAAAAAAAAAATTCGCCACTAGATGGTGGGCCAGAACATAGTCAAAGGATCGTTTAAGAAATTAATTGATGAAAAATGCAACTAGAATAGCCTGTGACAGACTGTTACAGTGTCTTTTGTAACTGGTAGTGAGATGTTACTCTGTGTTAAATGCTGTAGGAGGACAGTCATTAACAAAAAGCCACATTTGTGTGGCGGTGTCCGGCAGAGTATGTGAGCGGAGTGGGGCGTCAACAATTTCCTCTCCGCGCTCCGAGCTCCGAGCATTTAATAATCACTCCGCTCCGGCTTCACCATTTCCTGCCCCCGCTCCACTCCGCACTCACTGATCTCAGAAACACCGCTCTGCCTTCGCTAAAGTATTTCAGTATGTTTGAAATATCACAGTTCTGAATCTGTTCATAACCTATATTAATAAATAAAATAACAGGAGAGTTTCAAAGAGGGTTATTGAAACACTAGTGTGCTAACTTTTTTCCTACCACGTGACAAGCTAAATAACATGGTTGTCAGCATTAAAAGGTATAATCGCTGCTTTTTGCAGTGCAAATTTAGTTTGTGATGAAAATAACAGTACGTTTTCGTTCTTACAGATTTCTGCTCATTTTAAATCGGATACAGAAGTAGCACTGTAAGATTACATTTGTTTGAATGCATTATTGAGAGAGCGATTGCGTGTGAATGAGTGTTGTAGTACTAAATCATGCTTTCACCTGAAAATATTCAGTATCTAGAGGGAACAAATTCCTTGAGAACTATAACTTCCCGCTCATGTCCATTGCCGTCATCATAGCTTCACATTCTTTCTGATTTGAGTGATCCTTCTCTATCGAGCTAGCTAAATATGTTTAACATGTGAATTCTTTCTAAATATGCAGTTATATTACGGGCTGTTGGCACGAATTGTACTCGTGATGGAGTGGTGGTGGAGCGCTCTTGGAGCGAGTGAAAACCACAACGCTCCGACTTTTAAAAAATCCGCTCCTCGCTCCAGTCAAAATCCCACCACTCCACTCCGCGCTCCGCTCACATACTCTGATTGTGAGTAACTGTTGCTGTCATGACAGATCTAGTTTAGAACCAGCCGCTATCAAAATAATTTGGTTGCAGGCGTGGGCCAGATATTATTACTGGCCTGTTGCCGACCACTGCTATATACTGTAAACTTCCATTCAAAATTTGGGGTCAGTAAGTTTTTTTTTTTTTTTTTTTTTTTTACAAATTAAATGGATCAAAAGTGACAATAAAGACATTTAGAATGTTACAGAAGATTTATATTTCAAATAAATGCTGTTCTTTTGAACTTTGTTCATCAAAGAAAAAAAAAAAAAGATGAATCAGCATTTCCACAAAATATTAAGCAGCACAAATGCACAAATGTTGATAATAATAGGAAAAGTTTCTTGAGCACCAAATCAGAATATTCGAATGATTTCTTTAAAGATCACGTTATCACGTTAACTGGAGTAAAATAGAAATGGTTAAATTGTAATAAAATTTCACAAAAGTAATATTGTTCGTTCCTGTATTTTTTATCAAAGTAATGCATGAAAAAGTAAAGAAAAACATTTTTAAAATCTTACTGTTCCTCGAACTTTTGTACTAGCTAACTAGACACAGTCGGATGCTGGGAATATCAAAGATGTAGTTATACAATATTTGTTGCCATTGTTTAGTATGGTGTCATATATTTAATGTGTTGAAAATATATGTGTGAGTGAAAGTGTTGTGAAGATATTTGAGTTTTTCTCTCTGCAGGCTCAGTCCAGAGGTTTTCCTTAAACGTCCAGCTACAGGAACGTACTGGCGCTTGGACAAGATTCTCAGACGCAAAGCAGTATGGGGGAAGACCCTTTTACCTTACATTAATCTGCTATACATTCAATTAATTCTCTCCCATATCTATCTTAAAAAGCACCCCATCTGTCAGACAATCATTTATAATTATTAACTATAAATAACTGTCTATAACTATAGATGTAGTTATATTGATGGCCATGAACTTTAACAACGTGACAAGCTAAATAACATGGTTGTCAGCATTAAAAGGTATAATCGCTGCTTTTTGCAGTGCAAATTTAGTTTGTGATGAAAATAACAGTACGTTTTCGTTCTTACAGATTTCTGCTCATTTTAAATCGGATACAGAAGTAGCACTGTAAGATTACATTTGTTTGAATGCATTATTGAGAGAGCGATTGCGTGTGAATGAGTGTTGTAGTACTAAATCATGCTTTCACCTGAAAATATTCAGTATCTAGAGGGAACAAATTCCTTGAGAACTATAACTTCCCGCTCATGTCCATTGCCGTCATCATAGCTTCACATTCTTTCTGATTTGAGTGATCCTTCTCTATCAAGCTAGCTAAATATGTTTAACATGTGAATTCTTTCTAAATATGCAGTTATATTACGGGCTGTTGGCACGAATTGTACTCGTGATGGAGTGGTGGTGGAGCGCTCTTGGAGCGAGTGAAAACCACAACGCTCCGACTTTTAAAAAATCCGCTCCTCGCTCCAGTCAAAATCACACCACTCCACTCCGCGCTCCGCTCACATACTCTGATTGTGAGTAACTGTTGCTGTCATGACAGATCTAGTTTAGAACCAGCCGCTATCAAAATAATTTGGTTGCAGGCGTGGGCCAGATATTATTACTGGCCTGTTGCCGACCACTGCTATATACTGTAAACTTCCATTCAAAATTTGGGGTCAGTAAGTTTTTTTTTTTTTTTTTTTTATTCAGCAAGGACAAATTAAATGGATCAAAAGTGACAATAAAGACATTTAGAATGTTACAGAAGATTTATATTTCAAATAAATGCTGTTCTTTTGAACTTTGTTCATCAAAGAAAAAAAAAAAAAGATGAATCAGCATTTCCACAAAATATTAAGCAGCACAAATGTTTTAACATTGATAATAATAGGAAAAGTTTCTTGAGCACCAAATCAGAATATTCGAATGATTTCTTTAAAGATCACGTTACACTAAAGACTGGAGTAAAATAGAAATGGTTAAATTGTAATAAAATTTCACAAAAGTAATATTGTTCGTTCCTGTATTTTTTATCAAAGTAATGCATGAAAAAGTAAAGAAAAACATTTTTAAAATCTTACTGTTCCTCGAACTTTTGTACTAGCTAACTAGACACAGTCGGATGCTGGGAATATCAAAGATGTAGTTATACAATATTTGTTGCCATTGTTTAGTATGGTGTCATATATTTAATGTGTTGAAAATATATGTGTGAGTGAAAGTGTTGTGAAGATATTTGAGTTTTTCTCTCTGCAGGCTCAGTCCAGAGGTTTTCCTTAAACGTCCAGCTACAGGAACGTACTGGCGCTTGGACAAGATTCTCAGACGCAAAGCAGTATGGGGGAAGACCCTTTTACCTTACATTAATCTGCTATACATTCAATTAATTCTCTCCCATATCTATCTTAAAAAGCACCCCATCTGTCAGACAATCATTTATAATTATTAACTATAAATAACTGTCTATAACTATAGATGTAGTTATATTGATGGCCATGAACTTTAACACGACCCTGTGTGTGTGTGATGTTTAGGAACAGGGCGTGAAGGTGTGTGTGTTGTTGTATAAGGAGTTGGAATTGGCTCTGGGTATCAGCAGTGTCTACAGCAAGAGAACACTGATGAACCTGCACCCCAATATTAAGGTCTGATGTACTACACAGTACACACACATCTGTTCTTACTGCTGTTTGTCCTCTTATCCTTCCCACTTTTGTCATTCGTCAACATCATGATAGCTGTCTCACTATGTTATGAATGACTCAGTCTGTACTTCTTTTGCCCTAGGTGATGCGTCACCCTGATCATGTTGCCTCAGTTGTGTTCCTCTGGGCCCATCATGAGAAAATGGTTGCCATCGACCAATCAGTGGCCTTTGTGGGTGGGTTGGATCTTGCGTTTGGGAGGTGGGATGACAGCGACTATAGGCTGAGTGATGTGGAACCCAGTCAGCTCGAGGCAGCCCTAGAGGTACAGTTATATCCAGTAGATATGATGGCATACTTAATTAATGTGTCTATCTCTTACTCTTTATCTTTCTGTGTTTAATTTCACTCTTATACCTTCCCTCTCTCTCTTCCTTTCTCAGTCTGATGCTGTGGATGGCTCTGCTGTTCCTCTGACAGAACCTGTGTCAGAGTGTGAGGATGAAGTGGATCTGAGCTATAATGCCCTCTTGTGGCTGGGAAAAGATTACAGCAACTTTATCAAGAGAGATTGGACACAGCTGGACCAGCCCTTTCAAGGTACACAGTCCAAAGCAGATTTACATTATTACTTACATTTTTTTAATCACCACTTGACAATCTTTTTATGAAAACAGTATTTTTAACTACAACCTAATTTGGTTATTTAGTTCTATATATTAGATGTGGAAAATGTTCCCTCTAAGTCCATAAAGGTACATAAAAACAACTCACATTGGCCATGGCTTGCTAGCTATCTTGTTGTGATTAATGCAAAGAATTTCTTACTTTTCTTGTCCTTTTTTTTTTTTTTTAAGAAAAAAAGATCTCTTGGTACACTAGATTACTAGATTATTTATGTATTATTATTAATTGTATTACACTTCATATAAACATCATATATTGCAGTGTTTTCACTACTGTAAAAAATTTTTTTTTAGATTTTGACACACGCCCACACACACACACAGAGCTGAACAGACACTGTGCTCTGTTCACACACAAAGTCTCAGTGTTGTGGAGTTGTTTGCAGTGTTCTCTCCCACTAGGATCATGTGATTCTACTGCATTCAGCTGGCAACACACAATAGCCTTCTGCTCTTGCCTCCTGCTCAGAAACAGGGTCCTAATGCGAATCAGCTAAACTAAGAAGAATGGAACAGATAAGCACAGCATTGTACTACAGCCAGAGGAAATGTTTGTCCCTACAGAATGATGAAACCTTTGCATTTGAGAATTTAAAAACTTTACATTCATCAACAAACACTGATATTGTGCAGATGAATTTCTGAAGAATATATTTAAGCATATTAAATATGTTAAACAGGGTTAACAGTACAGTGTTATTGGTAACTAAAATTATATAAACTGTTCACTTAACTTATTGATTTATTATTGATTTAATATTAAAGGGGTCATATGATGCGATTTCAATTTTTCCTTTCTCTTTGGAGTGTTACAAGCTCTTGGTGCATAAAGAAGATCTGTAAAGTTGTAAAGACTAAAGTCTCAAATCCAAAGAGATATTCTTTATAAAAGTTAAGAGTCAACCACGCCTACCTAAAACGGCTCGTTCTAACACGCCCCCACATATCTACGTCGCTATGTGGGAAGATTTACATAACGCCGCCCAAATGTTCACGCAAAGAAAGAAGGCGTAACTTTTATTCTCGCTGTAGTTTTGTTGTTGCCGCCGCCATGTCGTAAAGACGCTGTGTGCTTCGTTGTGAAAGCGAAACTACTTTGTTTGGTCTTCCAAAAGAGGACGATATTTGCTTCGTCATGCCTGGAGCTGATCCGTGATGGTTGCTGAGGAATACTACAACTTTGCTGTGGATCGCCGGATCGGCTTTCACCGTGGACGAAGCGGAGTCCAGCCCAGAGTCGTCACATGTCCTTCCGGACGCTCCTTCATCGAAATCGCCGGCCGCGCCGTTCTCAAGCCC